ATATGTTAAGGAGTTCTAATTGGACCACCGAATTTCCAACCGCGAATCGCTGCTGAATCGCAATAAAATCGAACCATTTCTGAAGCGAATGGTTACTGGAAAGTGGATCTTTTACGACAACGTCAAGTGAAAACGGTCGTGGTCAAATTGTATTGAGCTGATGCAACCAGGATTGACTGTCAGAAAAGTTTGGCTATGTGTTTTAAGGGATTGGTAGGGAATCATCTGCTATGAGCCGCTTCCTTACGGCCAAAACTCATAATTCAAACCTATACTGTCAAAACTGTTGAACCGTCTGAAGGTAGCCATCGCCCAGAAGCGACCAGCTGAGGACAATAGGATAGAAATTGTATTTCAATCTGGACAACGGCAGCGCACACAACGAGAGTGACTCAGCAGAAGCACCATCAGTTTGGTTGAGAGGTCTTTATAGTCCGGACTTGTCACCAAGTCATTCCTGTTTATGCGCTATTGCCTATTTAAAGCGAATATTCAAACTTTTCCAAAAATTCCAGGGTTTTGCCTTCAAATTACTCTAAAATAGTTTTAAAAAATTTCGGGTTTCCCGTTGTGACTAACTCACCTCATGACAAATACAAACTCAGGCTTCGCCTCTCTCAGCACGATGATAATTTCGGTCTACTGTGACGAAAAATTACAATAATTACGAACACACTCCAAGCAAATACAAATTATACCAAATTCGTGGAAGGCAACACCCAACTCTAACGAGTTAGTACTGCGTGAAATTGCGCACAAACAAATGCAACAACATACGAGTACCATAAACACGTATCGAACTGAACGTCAAAACGATTTACATTACGATACCTGACAACTGTATAACAAATAACCTCACGGCTGCTGTTGCACGTTGCATTCGTTGACGCTAAGTCGATCTACTTAATTATAATGCCGGGTAGTTGGGCGTTATGGCAGCAACAACAACAATAATGTCAAGAAAATAATAACAATAAATAAATTTTAGTAAAAACAAAACGTTTGCTATAAAAGCATAATGCCGTTAAATCGCTTCAAAATTATAACTACCGTGTGTGTGGGGCGACGAGTGCGACGGCGCGGGGCAAAGTGGATTAGAATATATGAAAAATGTGGTTGTATGCACACAAATATTGCCACAGCAGCATAATAATTGTATTGTTAAGTGTCAAAATGCCCAACTCAAACAATTTATGACACCTTCATCGGCATAGAGCACAACAACTGACACACTGACAACTGGCGATTGGCGCGGCGCTTGCTCATACTCGCCATTATTTAGAGTATGTATGTACATACCTGTTAGACGCTTTGCTTGTGCCCCTAATTTGCTCTGTTGCTTGTTTTTTTTTAGTTTTTATGCTGAGTAATTTTTAACAATTATGTGTTTGTTATTGTTACTATTTCGTTTGTTTTGCATTCGCTCTAAAAAGCCGCAATTAGTCATAAACAAATGGCGGCGTTGTTGTGGCTGTCGCTGGCGGTGCGCTGACGCAGTTACCTAAATTACAGTCACCCTTTTGAGCTGCGAAATTTTTTTCATACATTTTTTTTAAATTTTTTGTGTACAAGTAATGTATATAGTATATACAAGTATGGTTTTTTTTCTTATATTTCCTATTTGTTACTAATTTCATTTTATTTATTGTAAAATTTTGTTTTGTTCAATCTTCAAAAATTTATTTTTTGCCCTTTTTTATACGTTGAACAGTGTGCATAAAGTTTGAACGAAATTTGTATTAAATAATAGAATATAAAAAAATATATTAATTATCAGAGTTACGAACTAAGTCGATTTAGCCATGTCCGTCTGTCTGTCTGCATATACGTGAACTAGTCCCTCAGTTTTTGAGTTATCGATCTGAAATTTTGCACTTGTCCTTTTCTCCACATGACGCTGCTAAGTTTTTGGAATCGCAGATATGGGACCACTATAGCATATAGCTGCCATACATACTGAACGCGCAAAATCTAGTCCTTGTATGGAAAACTTATTTGGCAAGACATCTTCATCAAATTTAGCACAGATTATCAACTGAGCCAACAGTACAATCTGCTAAAAAATTTTCAGATCATACCGCCATAACATATAGCTGTCATTCAAACTGAACTATCAAAATCCAGTTCTTATATTGAAACTTTTTTTTACTTGTAAAGGGTATTATAGCTTCGTTGTAAACGAAGTTAACGTCTTTTCTTGTTTTTTTTTTGTTACTATTTTTTTTTTTTTTTAATTTTTTTGTTAAATTTTTGAAAATTTATTTAATTTTGCAGTTGCATTATTTAGCATGTTATTTTGCTTTATGTTCCTTTGTGATTTTTTCCCTCTAACAAAGCTTAAAATATTTTTCAAATTGTGCCTTTGTACAGCACCTTAAATATTTGCTTAGCACTTGGGGCCACACATTAAAGTTTCGCTCATTTTGTGGCTATATTTTCCAGTTTTATTTTCAGCTTGTTTTATTGTTGTAAATAGCATGTGCGTGGTGTTGCAAGCGTTGTCAGTCTAACAAATGTTGCAAAAGTCTGCGAAATGCCAAACACACGCATCTACATACCATGCATATACATATGAAATTATGATATACATATATATGTATATGTAGGTATGTATGCATATATGTGTCTGTGAACTTACAATCTCCAGCACAGCTTAAAAATAATAAATATTGCTTGCTCACCGCACGCCTATTTGTTCTTGTTTTTGTTCTATTGTTTAGCTATTATTTTTTTATACATTTTTCCAATCGGCGTCTCACCTATTTCTCCTAATCGTTTGTGCACTCAAAATGGTGTTAATGCCGCTAATAAAAATGTTAAACTAACATTTTCCACTTCAAAACGCTTTGCTATTTTTTACTATTGGTGTGTGGCGTTCAGGTGTTTGCTTTTCGCATTCACAAAGCGACGCTGTTGCTGTGATGATATTGAATAGCCGCTTGTTTGCGCTAAATGTTCGGTGCGGCGGGGCGTATGAGTGAAATATGAGACGTTATAATTGTGAGCGACCTAATGATTTAACTACGAATATAATTTAAAAATTTTATTGGCAATCGGGTATTGGTTGTGAATAAGCAATTTTATTTTATATGAATTCGATGAAGATTGTGCGGATTCAAAAATGTAAAAAAGCGCCCATTTCTCCAGACGTAAATTACATATTTGATATAAAGCGAAGATTCAAGTTGATAGCTGAGAAATAGTTTATGTAATAGCTTAAGAGTATCTTTCATTGACCGACCAATGAAATTTCATATTCATTATTAATCATTTTCGCTATATTTGCCTAAGATATTTTCTATAAATCCTCTTTAGTTGTGTTCAATTCCCAGTACCTAGCGAGCCTAAGTATTCCTCTATTTAATTCCGTTTGAGGAAAACTGTACTTTTTCAGCTCTAGGGCTCATAAAAAACACAACTGATTATGACATTATAAGTAAAATCCAACTTTTTAAAAACAAAAATAATGCTTGACCAGAAAAATATCATATTTTGTTAAAAAAAAATGTTTGGATAGACATGTCTTTCATATCATAGCTATACGTGCGTGGTCTTTTCACCAAAAACTGCAATCATCAATATGTTTCAGTTGCAGCATTTGACCACACCAACTCAAGCTTCCAAGCATTATTTCAATTATATCATCAAATTATAAGATCAAATTTGACCCGGACTGGTATCAATAAAATTCTTTTCCAAGTATTTTAATAAAAATTTTTACTACAAGTATCTTCCTCAAAATAAGCTCCAACGCCAATTCTATTCAATTTCTATAAATTTTGTATAAGCCTCGGCTGAGATGGCTTTGAGAGTTTTCAGCGAATTTCGATTTTTTCAGTTTCAGCTTTTTTTGGAGAAGCATTTGCTAGATTTTTAAATACTTTTGAAGTCACGTCTCGTTATCAGTTTAATCGTATCAGAGTTTAATGAATCTTGGGTCTTCAGCTACTTTGTCAAGCTCTCGTTTGCGACCTCTACTCATCATCGCTTTTTTCCAAGAAGTTTAAATTCTTTTGATATGAGTCCAGCATTGATACGCTTCATAGCCAAAACATTACCCAAAATGTGTGGAGTCGATCCATAAGAGATGTTGGGACCTCTGTTATTTCTTTGGTGCCAACACGACGATTTTCAAGCATTGTTTTTTTGTTTTAACTTTCTTGGTGTTATCCTTTCCGGATTTTGCCGGGAAAAATATTGTCACTTAAGTTAAGAGTGTAAAGATAACGGCATGAACATAGTGAGATTTAAATTCAGAAACCTCAAAAAATACATAATCTAGCTCTTTCATGAAACATAACATTTAAATGAAAAAAACAATTGGCGTCTTTCTCAGTTTTCGTTTAACTAAATGAAAATGCGCGTGGCTTTAATTTATAATAAAATTTTGAAAAAAAAAATGCAATTTATTTTATAAAAATTCCACTTAAAATTAATTTGTGGGTTCATTTGTTAAATTAAATAACAAACTTTAATGGCTCCAATTTGTTTTTACTTTTATTTATTGAAGTCAATTTTATACAAAAAGTTCAATTACTTACTGGAAATGTCTTCTTAGCTGTCAAACTACCCGCATTTTTGGATTCACTAATCAATATTAAACTCCTAAAGCATATATATATTTACATTAAGTATACAGAAATACTCTCCAACACACTTACAAACTCACATAGTTTTAACAAAAATAATAAATAAATAAACCCGTATGTAAAGTAGCTATATAAATGACTATTAATGTCTCAACCGCCAGCCAATTTAAAGGCGATCAACGCTTGACTCACAGATCGAATATCAAAACAGCGAAATCTTTGTAATACAAATTGTTTCACACAATTCAACATGAATTCCAGCATTTAATTAAGCTGTCAATCTTCGTAAAGCATTCTATCAAGCCAAACAAATGTCTAATTGTGGCTTTGATTACAAACAGTAGCGGCCACAAAAAAATACCGACTGTGGATGAATAAAAATAAAAATTACGAATAAAGCGAATAAACTACTTTCGATTATATAAATTTTATTATATTTCGATATATGTTACATTTATATATATACTGGAGCATTAAGACAACAAATTTTCATATTTATGCTTATGTGTATATTTGTACGTATTATATGCGTACATATTCTCTAATATTTTGTATATATATTTACCCTCAGGTATATAAATAAATATCTGCCGTTATTTTACATAAAATCCCAAATCGCCAACTCGTACTTCTTACTGTCAAATCAAATCGCTTTGACCAATTTAAGTCACGTCCATAGCCAAATTGTTATAAATAATAAATGTCCGTTCACAAGTGGCGCGCATGCGTGCGTGCGTGCGTGCTTTTGGTGCGTGTGTGTGGTCCATTTAGGCATATTTTTTGCGCTTTTGTGTTTAACACGCAAATGTCATAATAGCATCAATTTGTTGTTGTTGTTGTTGAATTTGCTGTCATGGTGCGAAACGTAAGTTATTAAAACTGCATGAGACTCCTTCCTAAAAAGTGAATGTGCCCATAAGTATGTATGTGTTATGAGCGTGTGACAAATTGCAAATAAAAAATTACAACAACAAATATAATAATTATTCGCATATTGTTTTTCAGCTGTACTACATATATATAAGCGCATGTTTGGAGACTGACGCTTACAGCTTTGGCTTATATGTATATATGTATACTAGGGTGGAGCGAGAAAAATATATTTTTTTTTTGCTTAGCCCGAGGGTGAAATTTGTAGATTATAAAAAAAGAAAATTTTTGGAAAAAAAAACTTTTAACATCTAGGGCGGCCTACTCACTTTTAAAGTAAATTTCAAGTTAAAATTTTTATTTCGTAAAAAAATATTTGATAAGTGTTCTAGAGGCTGTGGAGAGTCCTCTTTTATCAAAAAAAAAAGCCAATCAAAAGTTATCAACTTAAAAAAAATTTTTTGTTCATAATTGGAGTTTTAAAAAAAGTCTTAAAGGACAACATGCTTTCCTTAAGCGTTAAAATAAATTTTTAGTCAAAAACCGTCAAATTCAGTAATTTTTATATAAATGTGAAGAGTTTAAACCAAAAAAAATTTATTTTGTCCAAAAAAAGTTTTAACTCGAAATTTGCTTTAAAAGTGCCGCCTCTAATGTTAAAAATTTTTTTTCCAAAAATTTTCTTTTTTTATAATTTACAATTTTACCCTCCGGCTAAACAAAAAAAAATTATTTTTTCGCTCCACCCTAGTTTCCATATATGGAGTATAAGATGTAAGTTGTGCTGTTTAACTACAAACGAAGAATCATATACGTTGTAAGTCAACTTCGAACAGCTAATGAATTTTGAGATGATTTTACTGACACAAAGGCTTTCATTGGCTAATATGCCAAAAACGATTTCAAAATTTGCTTATTGAATTCCATCCTACTACTCCTAATAATGGTCAGGCGCTCAACCTAATCGAATGATGATAATCAGTACTCGTTCTTACCAAAGGCTCTTGAGTAGTAAACTTACATGAATTCTTTCAAAAACCCATCAATGGAAATCAATCCTAAATGGTGACTACTTTTATGAATGATACTAAGTTCTTATTCTGCAACATTTTTGAATCAGCAAAGTATATTTTAATAAAGTTGAGTTGAAAAAAAATTTTAACTTAAATCATTATACTACAGTAATAAGTAGAGATATTTTACACTATTCGGAGATAATCCCAGGAATACGTTTACATGCATAAGTTACAAATAAGTGCTGAAACTGGGATGGGTTGCCTCGTAATTTCATTTCAGAAACATCAACTAACTCGTAGCGCTGTGAATATTTTAAAACACACAATTTAAAATGACCACAGAATCACCCTTTATATATTATCAAATATTATATAATAAAGATTAAAACCATTAAATCGTTTAAGAAAATGTTTTATTGAGATTCGGAAAACCGCACGAGCCAACTGGAACTCTTTGACAGCAACAGCTTGTCCGCGATCTACGTTACCCGTGACCCTTTTGTAATTTAATTGGTTTATCGCTTATATCTTACATAGTTTTACGAAAATTACTGTACAAACTTATGCATCGTTTTGTTCGATTCTTGCCTACTGGCCGCTTCTGGGCGATTGCTTCCTTCAAAAGATCCAATCGTTGACAGTATAGGTGCGAGGGGAACTTCTCTCAGTATATAATTTCCTACCACTCTCACCAAACACTTCTCCTTTTTGTATTTAGGATTTTTATAAATGGTTCCAAAGCGATTTATGTGCAATTTTTAGCTTATGGAGCATCGAAACAGTACTTATGTGATTGTCGGACTAGACGATTTGCATTATTTTATCGATATTTTGTACATCAAAATTACTGGCCAAGAATCACCGAACCAAAAATTCCGCCATATTGTCTGTATCAGGACCATACACCCTATTCACATTTTCAGCCGTCTGGCTGGCGTTTTCACCTTTATAAAAAAAGTAATTGTAAAATATTGAGTATTTTCTCGTTGCTGGTGTTCATTTTTTATGCGCGCACAAACAATACTGAGTCAAACAATCTCAAAAGTGTCCGAATGTTTTTTAGTAGAGAATCTCGTCTTTCTAACTTTAAATAACGTTACCCGATTGTAAGATTACTAAAGCTATATCTCGGAAAAATTATGAATCTCTTTTACTAGATTTTTTATTTAAAATAGGGTTTGGTCATTAAATTGTCAACGCTATCTATTGTGCATAAAATATAAACTCAGAAACGAAGCTGTTTTTGCGAAAATTTGCATACGTATAAACGAGTGTGTATTACACGCTGTATAATATATAAATATACAGAGCAATAAATATGTACGAATACTTAAGTGTCATAAATATCAATTGATATAAATTTACACGACTTTTTCGGCGCTATAAAACACATAAGTGTTTTAGTTAAATATATATGTATATTAATTTGTTGTGCACCTTTCGGTCATACACTCACACACACTGAATTACTTAACTTCAATTCGAAAAGAAAAAACAAAACCATGTGCATTAGAGCGGGTTAATTACAGGGAGCCAAAAAAATGGAAAAATCGCGTACGCAGGAAATGTTCTATGGACCATTCTGAACAACTTGAACTGAGAGAATATGGGTCTAAAACCGATTTTGAGTCAACGAGTTTTTAGTTGAAGTTAAATTTTACGGGATTATAAAAATGTATTCGTCAATTTTGAGATATGTATCAAATTTCATTTGGATATCTAAAAAGCTGACGAAAATTTTATTATAAACCAAAAAATTTAACTTCACCTAAAAATCGCTGATTCGAAAACGGTTTTGGACCCATATTCACTTAGTGCAAGTTGTTCGGAATGATTCCTGGAACATTTCCCGCGTATGCGATATTTTAGAAATAAAATGTGCCTGCTCTAATGTGCATGCATACATATGCCAACTAGATCGCTTGGTCGATATATACTATTTTTATGCCTTCTGATTTTTTTTTGTCGAAATCACCTCAATTCAAAGTGCAATTTGTTGCAAGCTGTTGCCGAAGTATTCGCAATTTATGTTTTCCGTTTGACATTTTTGAACTGCACGCACTCGATCGCAGAAAAATATGAAAAACTAAAAAAAGCAAATATAAAATAGGTAGAAATATGCATACATATTTACATATACATATATAAATATATATACTTTTGGAGTTCAGCCGCTGTAAGTTACTGGCATTTAACAAATTATTTAACATTTTTCATTTTTAATACTACTGTCCATGGACATTCATGTATGTGTGTATGTAGGCATATTCGTTTTATTAAAAATTGTCTGCGAATGGGTTTTTAAAATCGCATTTAAATGCAAATTAATGTGTCACTTATTAACACCGTTTAAATCAATCACTGACTAAAATCGCCACGTTTCCTCGGTGTACCATATGCAACAGATCTGGTGTTGCACACACACACACATGCGTAGTAGTATTTCCAAGTAAAGCGAAAAAGCAATAATTTTGCCTGTCCAAATATGACTTTAACAAATCTTCATGGTGAATTCATTATTGGTTTGTTGGTTTAGGTCGTAAAATAATATTTAAATACGGCCTTGACTCAAGGTCCTTGGATCCATATTTGTGGATAGGAATGACATCACGTGAATAGCGTCTAGCAAGCTCCTGGAACTCATCAGAGTGATTGGTCTTGGTGAATATATGTAGTGATAAAGGAGAGGGCACAATAGACCTAAGGTCGAATAAAGCAACTGATAAATTTTTGGTTGTTGTACGAGTCGCCAATGGATAGCAAAGCTCGTTTACTCGAGTTATGGGCATGACATGAAACCTTCGTCGAAAATTAGCAACCTTAGAATAGGAAATGATCGCTACTTAGAATCTCAAGAATGTCAAAAAAGGTTAGGGTCAAACACAGTTATATGAACAATCGAAAAGTGGCTCACCTTTCGAGCTTCTCAAAACGGTATACCCAGAAACGGAGGTAACTCCACCTCGACGCCATATGACACATACAATCCAAAACACTCCGACACTGTCCTTTAGCCTAGCGGTGATGACATCCTCGCTGCTGAAATTTGGTAAAAGAAACACATTAAGTTCCCTTCGGGTCAACAAACAAGCTCTGGTTCTACCTGTACCCCCAAGAGCCTGTGGCTTCTTATCTAATAAGTTTAGGATCAAGCACAGTGCTGTAGAAGAATGAAATATTTTTAGAGACTCCCTATCTATCTGAAGGCCGCTTACGAACAACTACAGCTTTCGGGTCGATTTTTGAAAAATATGCCTTTTCGTTTTTGTTTTTTGCTTGGAATTCGTTTTTTAAAAAAATCTATTTTTGTGAACAAAATACGGATTTGCTCCGCTATTTGCACCCAAATCGACTCGAAAAAAATACTTTTGGAAGATGTTGACTTCAAGAGAAAAAAACTTTAAAGCAGATCTTAAACTACTTTGAAAATTTTTCCAATTCCACGCCATCAACCATCTCCAATTTATGCCCATTTACTTTCTAGATTATGATTCCTACGTCGTTACCCATAGAGGTTATTTTTTTTACTATTGACAATAAAAAACTTAGGGTGAAAATATCAATCTTCATAGACATTAATAAAACAAATAGGTGAACAGAGCTCTGAGATGTACTGTACGCCTAAAGCTCCCCTGAACAACTCACTTTCATACAAAGTATAAGCCTAAATATCATTAAATAACTTCGCACTCATTACAATATAACCTTCAATGACTTAAACTTTTTACTTCATAAAAATTCATTTCGAATTCACAATTTATTCTCTAATTTAAGTGAACTGCAAAGCAAGTGTCCGAAGTATAGATTGCATAACTGAAAAACACTTACCCAGTTCACAAATTGACTTTGTCATGTGCCAATAAAACATAAATCAAGATTAACCGATATTTTTTGACTATGCGTTGAGTACTCTAAATTAGAAATCAATTAAGACACAATTGCAAACCAAAAACTAACAACAACACCGCGACTTTTAATGGATCGAGCTCACAATGGCAAAGTTAGAAGCAAAACCCAAAAAAGAAAAGAAAAATGCCAATAAATTTGAAAAATTAACAAAGGAAAATCCAATCAGTTGCACTCATTGCAATAAGTGCATTAAAATGCAAGGCGCGCTAAGGAAACGGTCATTACTACAAACGAAAACAATAAAGCATGCACTGAATGCAATCGAACAAGCCAAAAGCGCACAGAAAAACAGCCGATTAGCTCGAGACAAACTAAACTTTTGACAAATCAGGCTGGCTACTAGCAAAAGCTTGCGCTAGAAAAAGACACGTTGTGGATTGCATGGGTATTTACTAAATATCAAATGGGGCTTAACGTATTCAAAGCGTGGTTCTTACGAAGTTTCTTTGAATTATTGAAAATTTTGAATTTCTTTTTTACTTGTTTATTTACATATTTGTTTAAATCTTCTATAGAAAGTAGTACGTGAAACACTTTCTTGGCTTACTTGATTTTTGCTAGTAAAACACTGACTTAAAGATTGATGCTGTTAAGACTTAGGTGATCTTACAAAATAAAAATTTTCTTCTCCTCAGTCCATGAAAACTGAAAAGCAATCAGTCTAAAATTTTTAACAGCCATATAATGCAGGCGCCTCCGAGTTGATGCATCCTGGGTTATATTAAATAACCTGCGGCCTTCAAGACATTCTTTACCTCCTAGACTCGACCTTAGCTTTTGCATTATATTATGAGTAGAATTAGCTCTTTTAGCATTTTGGTGGTACGCTGCATTGATGGTTGTGGCATTGTGCTACCGGAAAATGATGGAGTGACACCCATCGCAGCTGAGCCTCACCAGGCATCAGAGTACGTTCCCCTTCGTCGTCACTAAGTTGGCGTGATAAGTATATATTGAGACAACTCTTCCTTTGCGCTGGAGGGTTTTGAAAGCCCAGCCTCATAAGGGAACGCTCCAACCCTCGCCTTGGTCTCTTTATTGAGACAACTTGTGAACCATTAAATGTGAATAACTTTTCGGAGGACGGCAAGCGGCTCTGAGTAGGGACCCAATCAGCATGAACTAGCAAAATAAAAACAACATTGAAATAAGCGACCACAGAAAGGAGACAATAGAAAGTGAAGGCAAATCGAAACCGATACCTAGATATGACCCGGTTGGGAGTACTGGTGCTAGGACGACGAAACCATCACCAACTTAAAGTAGTGAAGGAGCGTTACTACAATTGTATAAAGTTCTACGTTCGGCCCTTCGTGGAACAATAGGTTTGCGGAAAAACGGCAGAAATCCGTCGGCAAGCGACGTAAGGAGAACCTTTATATGCGGCGCTAGCACTAGCAACGAAACCTTTGCTTTGTCACGAGGAGCTCTACAAGGAGCAGAAGCATAGCAAAATCGGCTAGGAAGCAAAAGGAGTACCGCCGGTTGGCAGCCAAAATCGTAAAGCGTTACGTTGCCCGTCCACAGCAATAGTCAAAAAGCTGCAGTTTTAAAATAATAATTTCTAACGTACATTTTTAAGAGTTTTTTAATATTATGAAATGTGTATTTCCTAAAAGTGCATACGAACCACCCTGTTCCTAGATAGGCACAACGAAATTCGCTACTCGACTGCCTAACAATCAATTATCATAAATTTCAAATTAACCAATGACTTGAAACGGTCTACTTCCATAACAGTCTGCATATATACACACACACATACATAATGGATGGACCACTCGTTGACGGACAGACGGAAACACTGACATTTCGAGTAGTTCATAAAACAAATATTAAACCAAAGATTGCATACAGAAAACATTACGCTTTTGGCAAAACTACTTAGTTGCCTTGCGGCGCAGGTAATCAACAAGCAATTAAGCGCGCTTGAGCCGTTGACTTAAAGTTGACATTTGAAATGTCAAATTGATGAATACAAATGAACACCAAACACAACGCATGCAAGCAATGAAGAGAATTCAGGCAAATATTTGTGGGAAAACAAAATTAAAGAAAAATGTAAGAGTTTCAACTTCGTATTTTATAACTTCTGCCAGGCATTAATCACACTAAAGCAGTAACCTCAAAGTTACTTGTCATATTTGACAGTTGTGCACAGAGATTAATAGAGCGTAGTGTATGAAGTGCTCTCGATTGGCTCAACAAATTGAAATCTGTGTACATAACTTTCAAGAAGGAAGGGCACAGCATAGCTGCTTGCTTAGAAGAAATTCTGAATGAATGTTTCTGGCATGAACACATACATATATTTTGTATGTATGCATATATATATATGTATGTAAATCTATATTTTGCATAAATCATTGCTTCTACTACCTTCTGATACCCTCTACAGTCTCTTTATTTACCCACCTATGACCAGCACTCAAACCGCTGTGCATGCCATATACCTACATACATCGCACATATATATATGGAGGCGCAAACACGCATACAGACACATATGCACTCTTATGTAGACATTCCGCCCACTGCTGACCCATTTATCTCGGCCAATGCGTCGCCTCATTTGCATTTTTATATGTCTTCATTGCGAGTGAGCACACCACATGCAGAAAAAAAAATCTCGTGCGATGCAAGTTGCAGATAAACCAGTACATGCAACAAATACATTTACGTACATGTTTCTTGGTTGTAACTACATGTAAATCATATTTATGCTTCTATTTACATTGATTGCCAACAAAATAACGCGAATAGCACAGAGACCACCATGAAGGAGAAGTCCAAGCAAGTCCATTAGAGGTTTCTAGAACATACTAATAGATGTACACATGTATGTTGCTATGTTTGAAAGGATGCACGTGGTCACGGTATATAAATATTGGATACGCACGTCGCACTACTGGGCTTTTGTGCTCTAATTCTTTTTGGTCATTAGAAAATTCCAAGCCGCCTCAAGTATTTTTTTTATATTTATTACTGTGAACCTGTTTCGAGTTAGGTTGACAGTATGAAGGAGGCATGTATAGATTTTGTTATCAGCTCTGTGTCAATGAGTCAGTATAGCAAATACATTAAGCTTTAGGCTATTGGTCATATTATAAATGCATTAGAAAATACCTGTCTGAGTAATTTTTAGGTTAGGTATGAATGATGACATGTTCTCAGGCTAACTGACAGCTGATAAAATATAAATAAGCATAGGAAATATCCTTTGCACCTCTTACTATTTGTCTAATACCAAATTTATATAAGATCTAGTAAGAAAATATTCATTAAATTTGTATTAAATTAAAGGATTTATTGAGCCTACTTAGAACAATCCGTGTAAGGTTAAATTTGCGCCGTTTTATTTAATAACATGTTGTCATTTTGTAAGTAATTTCATAATACCACTCTCACAGAAACCCTTGTCGCTACTGACAAAAAAATGGTACGAATTTCATAAGCTTCTCTTGAGTCGAATTTTTCGCCAGCAAAACCATTCGCCGTAGATAGGAACAAGTAAAAATCACTTTGTGGCAAATACGGTGAATGCGTAAGAACCTCCCAACCAAGATACCTTAGCTTCTGGCGTGTCACTATCTATATTTTTATTTATAAAATTTCTTCTAGGAGCTCAAGCTAAGACTTATCCAATTGCGTCGACTTGATTTAATTCATCCTGGATAGTTCACATTTGTCTTCAACTTTCTGTAGTGAAACTTATGTAAAACATAAGTAGTATGTCCACTTCTCGCACAAGAACACAATTATTACAAAATGTTTCTTAAATAGACGATTTTTTCACAATAGCGTCAATCAATTCAGGTTCAGGTGCACCCAAACTCTGACCAGTAAACCACTTTAAAAAACCATATAGAAAAACCCTTTTCAAAGCCGCATATATATGGGGCCATCGTAATGCTTTATATATGATGAGATTAAATTGTTTTGGCTAGTCGGCCAAGTTTCACATATGAATTTTTGGCATTTAGGATAGTCGTAAGGAACTATTTTTCTTTACCTATCACAATTCGTTGCAAAAAATACTTATTTTTGTAGCCTTCAAGCAGCATTTCTATCATTTCTTTCTAAATCCAGGTTAAATCATTACTGAAAAACGCTAACGACAACAATTCAACAAATTGAAGCGAGTGATTACCGAAAAACACCCCGAATTTGCGACAAGACACGAGGTAATAATTTTTCATCATGACAACGATCGGCTTCATGTTGCGAAACCGGTTAATAGCACAGACCTTTTCTCATCTGACTACCACTTGTTTCGGTCGAGGCAGTACGCTCTCACTGGAATACGGTTCACATCAGAACAGGGTAAATTGGCTTGATTCACGCTTTTCTGTCAAGCCGGTGTTATTCTTTTGAGATGGAATCCACATACTACTAGAAAGATAGGAAAATGTTATAGCTTCAGTTGGTTTCTTTACTAATCGTTCAATTTTGAAAAAAAAAACACAAACCGGACGAATTTAGTTATAGACCCAATAAGAACAGTAATATTAGACTTAACTAGGTAAAACTTCAGGCTTAATTTTACATTGCCATAATTATACAAGTAGTAATATAGTTTCTAAAAATCTGTGAAGACTTTGAAATTCTGCACAAAACTATTTAATATTACCGACTGTTGCCATCTTCCATACTACTAAACCCTGAGGGGATGATAGAGGTGTATTTAAGAGCGGCGTTTGTTAAAGAATGTTTTTTTTTTATTATTTATTAGAAGTGAGTTTTCCTGACATTTCTTAAGCTGCAAGTACACTACCTATATGCCTTAGAATTTTTTAGATATAATATGACTTCATCTCACTTTTGAAGCTACCATTTACTCTCCGTAGTCCCTTCGGATATAGGTACCACTACCACTTAGAGAACTATACTCTGTTAGTTATATTTATGTCGGATTGTAATTAATAATCTAGCACTACGCATAAATTATCTAAAACTTATTTCTCTTAGTGTGTTCTTAACCACCACACCATTGGATGGCGACGTCACCTGCGCACACTAACTCCAATCCAATAATAGTACATACTGTAAAAGCATGGTATTTATAAGTTGACTCAGTTACTTTTTTACGGCCGCACACTTGGTTGAAATTTCTTCACGTCGCCTCATCCACAGAAGATTAAACCACCAGTAGCCGATCTCATTGATCACCTCCATATTAAAGCGAATGCCATCGAGCCGGTTGCCACCTCGACGACAGGCAATAGCGGCTACTTAGAGCATAAGGCTAGAACCATCGGCGGTGGTCGCAGCCACAAAAACAACAAACAACGAGCAGCCAGCTAGTTAGCCACCCAGCAATGTTACGCTTCAGCACGTCAGTGGAAATCT